TCTATATCATTTGACTCAAACCGATGGTTTACTTATCCCATCCTGAACACGTACTATAACTACACATGTCTAGGTTCATTAGATTGGCTAAGGGTAGCTATACTTACTAAATCCTATGACCCCATGCCCAAAATCCTAGCGTAATTAACGCTATTCCTCTAAAACGATAGTTGGTTGATTACACGCTTGTATCCCCAACTAAATCGTATTCCCGATCCTGACTAATTAACAGAAATGAAACACATAATGCACACACAATAAAACACAATAAAAATTTACGTAAAACATGTTCCTTCTGGCAAAGAAAATCTTCTTTAGAAATTAAACTTTACCTGATTGGTTTACAATCTTCTTTTCTAGTTCCAGAGATAATCATCCAACCTTGAAACATAAGCTTAAACCATAGCTCAAAACAACATCCATTTGCCTTAGCAAATTTCAAAGGCTTAACCTTCACCCTCCTTATACGCGAAATGCAAACCGTTTATGTAGCTTTAAGGGAACAATTTAGACCATCACAACCTAATTCCCATACTCCCCGGAACATGATATAAAATTATTGCCTCGTTCTGAGAAGACCTCCATCCGATTCCTGAACCCCTGAAGAGTTTCTTTATCTACCTCTTTTAAGGGAACACAAAGCTTTAATTATATGTAGGTCGATCCACGCCAACTCTACCAGTATCGTTCACTATACTATTAGCGAACTAAATCACCCTTGCAAGATCCTTGATTTTCAAGAATTTAATACCCTCCTTCTTAGGTATACCAAAATCTCCTCCACTAGAATGCTCTTCGGACTCCTAATCCTCGTTGTCTCCTTTATGAGAACAACTAAAATCGTGTTGGTCCCTTTATACGGTGACCTAAAACACACTCCTAAATTCTTCCTTGGCTTATACTTCTAAAAGTAGCACCAACCGGAACTAAACCTTCGATCCCAAGTTCTGCTTCTGATAAAAAACTCGATAACGTACTCCTCTACTCCTTCGAGTCTGATTCGCCATCGCCTTGGACCCCATCCTCCTTCTAGTGTCAATCATTCCATAATTATGAAATATAATTGACATCAACTCCTCCAAACGAACCGTAAATGAGTACAACGAATCATAATATGGCTCTAAGTTTTAAGAAACGCAACGCGGAAGACTTCTAACGAAAGACACTCCTAAAGACACTAGAACCTGGAGTACTCTGATACTAATTGTGATACCCCTCGATTCTAGAGCCACGGGTGATCAAGTCCGAGCACAGATCCAAGGGATACCAAACAATCAATATGTAAACAAGTAAGAATAAAAACTGAATTAAGAATAAAATAATAATGCGCTGAAAGAAATCTAAAATAAAAATCCTCAAACTTTAAATAATAAATTAATATCATTTAAATCCTCCAAATCCGTACAACTCGGGAATCCAACTAGTGGACCCCTAATAGTCCCAAATGATAAAACTTTACAGAATTAAAATCCAAAACTAAAATAAAAAAGAAAATCCTATTTAGTTGGAAGAGTGAGTGATTGTATCTGTATCACCACAAACAAGCTTTAAGCCTGGTATCGTCGAACACCTGAAAAATAAGGGTGGGTCAGGCCCACATACAAGTTCCATATTAGTATAATCCATACATAAACCCGATACGCAGATACATCCTAGATAGCTCAACAATAGCTAAAGTAGTCCATATAGATATAAGTACACACTATAGTACGTTCACCAGCCTACATAATCCGTCTCAACCCGAGTAGAACAACTAGGGAAACACCATCAGGCCTGGTTATCAATCCTAGGCGATATACGCACGCTAACCGTGATAAGGAGACTCAAGCTCATATCACGATACTATAAGTATAATATAAATTCCTTTCTAGTGCAGAAAAGATAAAACAAATATCCATTATGTCGTTCAACTGTTTTAGTTGACAGGATATGCATCCATGTAGGATTTAACTGTTTTAGTTAATCCATTCTTTATGTATGAAAAGGTAGGACTTAGCTTTTTGATCTAATCTATCTCTGATATGCCACCGTCCCATACCGGTGCATATAATGCATATGATCCACAGATGATGCACATTCAAATGAACATCAAATATATCCAAAAACCAGTATAATAGAAAACAGATATTATTAAGATCCCATCATGCATCCAGTATATGATTATAATCATAAAACCTCCAAATAAATTGTTAAGGTAATGCTAAACAATTTATATTATCCACATCCATACAATTAATCAAACAGAAATTAAACAGTTCATCAATTAACATCCATAGCATGGTATAATGATTATCAGAATTATAAACTGAGTAACATTACATTAGAATTCCCAACCAATTCTTCCCTACTGGTTCATTCGCATTGATAAAACGAAGACTAGCATTTACAACTTTCTCAATCCTTGACTTCATGTAAATTAATCTTTAAATCCCATGACGTCCATTTAATCCCCAATTATAAAACTTGTGCATGGTACTCAGAAGTCTAAACTGCACATTATATGAAATCCTAACAGTGTTTTATACTAATCCATTTAAATTGGTTAAAACACAACCAACGAGGGAAACTTCCTCAACTCCTGACAGCACGCAATTTAGTACCTAAAGTTCATGATGTCTATAACCACATCTTAAACCAACCTTTTCGGCCTTCATTAAATTATATATATCATTTATATAACATCCCAGAAATAATTTAACACCAGCCCGTTTAAGTTGCTAAAACAAACTAGCGATTTACACCTTCCTCCTTCCTTCCTTGACAATATGCCTATTATTTGTTTATGTTTCATGATGCCCCTTAGGATTGGCACTCTAGCATAAACCAACTATTTTATGGCTTTAACAAGTTAGTTTTAAACATTTAAAACCCCATAACATTTTTAAACAAATTCATTTAAGCCCCTAGACTCAGAAAATTACTCGAAAACAATTTCTGGGCAATTTCAAAAGAGGAGCCGCCTCCAATTTCAGGTTGAGCAGGCTCCACCCACATTGGAGCCACCTCAACACCTTGTGGATTCGGCTCCACTTCCATGGAGCCGCCTCCATTGAAGGGTAGAGTCGCCTCCACTCACCCAGCCTCCGTTTTTCTTTCTTCGCTTCCTCTGTTTGCCTTCTTCGCTTTCGGCAAAGTTTCAGTCCTCTGTCCCACTTTTGTTAAAGATTTTTAAGGTTCAAATTAAGTCCTAACAATCCTAGAAACTTCTCCAATTCCAGTATGAATTACTTGACAAAAGCTTAAACCATGATCGAAACAGTTTATGCTTCCTCTATTTATCTTCTTTGGCGAAGTTCAATTCTCTTTTCCAAATTTACTTAAAGTTCTTAACGTTCAATATAAGTCCCAACAGTCCTAGAAACTCCTCAAATTCTATTGTGAATTTAATGACAGAAGTTTAAAACAAAAACAACACAGTTTATGCAAGAAACCGATTTCAGTTATTTAAACGTAAACAAGTTATAGTCTGATATAACATGCATCAATCATCAATTTTAAAAGTTGAATTAATCCCTGGAGACTATATAGAATGCACAGAACACAAGTTTACAGGAAATTACACGTCAATTAAGTCACTAATAATCAAATATTTAAATTAACTAATAATTAAATTAAAAACAATTACAATTAATTTAAACAGACACAATTACCAATTAAGCAAATAAAACCATTAAACACATAGCCATATAATCATATTTAAATGCACACAAATCAAATAATCAATTATTCAATTGAAATGCACATAAAATAAATAAATAAATTTTAATTATATCATTTTGAGAATTAGAGGTATTACAAAAGATAAACTATATTAAACGAGACAGCCTAGAAAAAAGTTAAATTTATTTGGCAGGAATTAAGGGTTTGGCCAATGCTGCACTGAATTTGACGTGTCAGGAACAAATGTGTCTGTCTAAAGTCTAGATGTTGGAAGACAGGAACATGCTCTCTCGACTCATATCTAATAGTTGCTAATAAAAACAGTGGGAGAAAACGAAAAATTGGAACCTAATAACAAACTTGAACTCAAAGGTGAGTCATGCAATTCATATATATATATATATATATATATATATATATATATATCCTTTTAAAAAAAGAAATGATACAATGATGCATGCAGTGAAGAAAATTTTACTTAGTATTTTGCTTATTTTGAAATAACGATGAACCATAGGACAAGATTAAGAAAGGCTTAAGGTAACATCTAGTCATTCAAAATCGTATTTTTCCACCTCTGCTGGACATAATAGTGGGGTAGTGTTCAGCAGTAGGTGCATCTAATATGTATCATAGACATAATACCCATGAACACCAAAAGGTTTTAGTACGAAAGTCACCCAAGTGGGGCCGTTTATTTATTTATTTTTTAAAAACCTGACAAACTAAGGAGAGAGGGACTTGAACACGGACAAACACGCTTGGATATTTAGACACCCTACCAACTAGGCCACTTAGTAATGTCCACTCAAGTGGGGCTTTGGCAACACACTTTTTTTTTTAGAAAAAAGGCTTCTTCATGTTATTTTCTTATTACACTGAATTTTAAGTTCCTTTACACTTCAAAAAATGTTATTGTAACACCTATCCTTGATTCATTGTTTTGAAGAGACCTTAACTTCAAATTTTATTAGAATCATATCTTCCCCAGTAACCTATCACGTCACTATTAAAATTTTGGGTATCATAGGAGGGAGTCAACTTAAGAATATGCAGATATAGTATACACTTAATCATACGAAAGAAAAAAGAAAATTAAGAAGACTGAATTATATATTTCAACCTGAAAACGAGTAACTGAAGAACAACAATAATGAACTATCAAGTTACACTACAAACAGTAAAGACAGAGCATTGAACATGATAAAATATAATTTTTTCCAACATGACAAATATAGGAACTTAAATATCTATTGATAATAATCCCATCGAATACAATTACAACGGTCAATTTCCCTCAATATGTCTTTTTCTATATCTACAACCAAGTTATCCTTCATTCATTGATCTCCCAACTGATTGGGAAATTCATTCTTTATAAAATTCTCCACAGAAAATGCCCTCTCCACAGAAAATGCCCTCTCCATAGAGGCAGATGCCACTGGTAAGATCAACGCCAATGTCACAAGCAAATACACCAACGAATATACTTTGTCTTTCTTTGTCTCAACCATTCTTTTTGCAAGAGCAGCAATCCCTTTCAATCCTTCAAAACTAGTACTAGAGCGTACATCAAAAATATAATTCTTAAGTTGACCACCAAGTTTCATGAGCTTTTCACTGCACAAAATTCTTTTGGATAAAATTGAGCAAGGCGAATTAATTTTTGCATGTCAAAAGCAATGAATGCATTATCTGGACATAGACATGCCACACAGAGAAGTAACTCAATGTTTGCCTCAGCAAAATGAGTATTTAACTCTTGAAGTTGCATATCTATGACTTTATAAAACACCCATCACAATAGTGATACAAGTTTGTACGAGGTTTACACCGTAGTCGTCCTGGAGTTAAGAACATATCGTCCATGTTTGGAACATCAATCTCATGTCTCTCACAAAAAGAAGAAACCCATCCATCCCCCCTCATCATTTGCAATCTTTGCTTACCTACTTTGACTAAGGACATGGCGTTCACAAGGTCTTGATCTTTCCTTTGTAATGCCTTTGATAATTCATTTGTAGTTCCCAACACAATTCTCATCAAATGTAGACCAAGTAGAAAACTAAAATTTTGCATCAAATTCAACAGATTATATGCTTCATATCTCTCTTCAGAGTATGGTCCATCCACTTCAATAATCTCAAGAACACTGATTATAGATGAGAACATCGCAATCAAGCTAATTAAAGTACCATAGTCTAAGCCCCAACATGAAAGTTCACATTTGTTAATTGTTTCAATAACTTCGGCAACTTGTTTCTCTCAAAAGATATCACGATGTTTACAAGGGGCTCCAAGGACATTTACCACATTACCAACCAACTTGAAAAGAGGGTAATGGATACGCTGATTTGCCAAAGCCACAAGAGCTAACTGAAGCTCGTATGCAAAACACTGAATAGAAAAAGCAAATTCATTCTCCTTATGAATAAGCATCTTGAGACTGTTGAACTCGCCTTCCATATTAGCAACACCATCATAAGCTTGTCCACGCAGTCTAGAAATGCTCAATCCATATCTAGATAATAACTCATCAATCAATGTCTTAAGCGAAAGAGTAGTTTTATCTATAACATGTACAATGTCAATAAAACGCTCAATGATATGCCCATCCTTGTTCACATAACGTAGCACAACAGCCATGTGCTCCTCCGTCGATATGTCATAAGAATCACCAATTAAAAAAGAAAAAAACGAATATCCAATATCTTTGATAATAAGATTAACAGTCTCCGTTGTAGCTACATTAGTAATGTCTTTTTGAAGCTCAAGTAGATTTTCCGGAGCACTATTCAATACAACGGCTTTAATATTCTCATTGTGAGCAGCAAGAAATTGCAAAAATGGAAGAAAGTCCTTTTAAATGCTTGAATCCTCAAATTCATTAATGTCACAAAATGCAAGTCCTTGCTTTACAACAAATTGTACACAATCAATTGATGCATTCAAAAGAGTTAGATATTCACATCGATCTTGGCTTGGCTGCTTGGAAATAATTGATTGATTGTGTCGACTGTTCTTTGAACTACCATCAGTTCTCTCTGCAGGGATTGTCAACTCCAATTTCATTTTCTCCATAACTGTTTCAAAATTGGTTGTATATAATCAAAATTAACTTAAAACACGCTAAGAGAAAAAAGAACTTGGTAACATGTTATATCTAAAATTCAAAATAATATCTGAGACGACCTAATTCATTCCAAAACAGACATTAAACCATATTTTATAAAATTGACAGCAGGTCAGCCAAAAAAATAGGAGTTTACCATTCAAATAGCATGTTGCAATTTCAAATTTTCATTAAAGTAAAATTCACAAACATAAAATATAGACATTCAGCTCATAAATTTCAGTAATAAATTTGAAGAATGAGAAAAGAGAGGAAAAAAAAAAAAGGGTACTGACAGACATCATAGATGAGTACAAGCAGGGACCAGGGTTGAGTTATTATAATCCTATACACTGAGTGCAACAAGAAAATGACAGAAAAAAATAAAAAGTGAAGAAAAATGAGAGAACTTCCAAGAGAATCAAAGAAATTTGAAGGATTGCTTGATATTGTATCAGATACGTGTCAGATATTGATATTTTTTAGATATTCATAAATACGTGTTTGATATTTCTTAAACGTATTCATAATTTTAAAAGTTTTGAACTTTAAAATGTGATTTTTTTCAGCAACATTAACATAGTATAAGGGTTGAGAAAATTTTAATAGTTTTTAGTTGGTAAATTATGTTCTTGTTTTAGTGATTTGAAACGAACTTTTAGTCTCTTACGTTTACTATTAATGATTGCATTTAGATTCATAATATTACAAAAAATTGATATAAAAATAATTTTAAAAAATAAAAATATATTTATTAATATTATTATTATTATTATTATTTTGCTATATCCTGCTGTACTCATATCTTGTTTCTATTTTTTTAGATTTTCTGTATTGCCATGTCCGTATCGTATCTGCACTTCGTATCCATATCCGTGCTTTCTAGACTGAGAAATTTAATTAAACCAATGAGATCGTTGTTGAATGTAAAAAATCAATCAAAGGGTTAGTTTGGTGGTAATTGCTAGCCTTCAAAACTAGAAGGTGTGAGTTTCAAGTCCCCAACAAGATAATAGGACATGTGACTCTGCGAGTGTGTGAATTTCTTCTGGGATTTTCTTTTTAATCAAGTCCTGATAATAGCAATATTGTGACTTGTGAGTTTGCGCTTGTAAAACACCGCCTCTGTTTTCACCAACAATTACAGAATACCCAAATTGAATTATTGTTGTATAAGATCCATAAAAAATCACGAGTAGTACTGAAACAATGTGTGCAAGTCTGCCCAAATGCATTTGTTTTTTCTTAGCAATTGGACAACTAAAAGGGCAAATATTCCATATGGTAAATATCCAAACACACTCAAAAGGACCATAGGGCAAAGATCAGAACAGCAATTAAAATTTAGAAAGATACTAGTGGACTAAAAGGGCATCACAACTAGAACTATGCTGCCAGTTACATAAGTTCGAAAGGAAGTGGAACAATAAACAGAAAAATAATTAGACTTAAAAAAATAATAATAATAAAATAAAAAATTGACCAAAAATCCAAACTTCGAAGGCCAAATTTCTGTTCTGAACACTTGTATAATCTGCTGTAGTCAAATTTCAAGGGCCAAACTTCGAAGCTGCTAATGGTTTTCCTTTCTGTTGCTTGCCACCAGCTTTCCAATGGCCTTATGCCAACAAATTTGAGTGCCTCGGCCCTCAAGTCTGCAATCGTCATGAAAGAACTACGCTTGGTGGTGAGGGAGCCCAATATCCAGTGTCAGGTCATATTGGTGTTTGTCCTCTCTCGGTAGCCATTGCCAATTCTGAAATGTTGCTGTACAAGTGAGGTAGGAGAAGAGAATAACTAGAGTTGTACGTTGCAATTCGTTGTAGCGGCTATTCACTTAATCTGCAGGCACAAGTAGCTAGATTAATATATGCATAGTATATACTGTCCAAATAAAAATTGGTAGTTTAAGAAGTACTCCAAGCATATCAATAATCATAAGCTCCTTTTTATTCCTTTGTTTTCTTTTTTTCTTTTTTCTTCCTGGTGTGGGTTCGGAATTGCAGTGGTTGTGACTGTTTAACATAAAAACAAAGTAATACAATGCACAGTTTTCTACTAAAAAAAAACATTGAATGTTAGAAAGAGAGGAAACATTTAACTGTGGACCTCAATGGTAAAAGGCTCGTGCTTCCAGCAGATGTTATTTTTCATTTTATTCAATGTTTAGTTAATCTTTTGATGTAAACTTCGGTACATGATTATTTGATGTTAAATCGTGTTGAATTTCTCCCAGATGGATTGAATATGGACCTAAAGTTTAAAATTTTTGCACAATTTATATGTGATGTATTGCAAACTAATATTTCTAACTTAAAATAATTAATTTCTCTTATTATATATCAAGTTATTTAGTGCATGCACATACTAAAGATAATAGGATCACTAGACAGTTTAGTTTCTGCAACACTAGAGCTTGCATTATTTGATAATACCATCATTCACCAAGACTCTGGGAATTTTAACCGTAAAATACCCAAAAGCGATGGTATAGAAGGTAAGATAAGTACTAAGGTTTAGAAGAAACCAAACATAGCTGTGGTGACAAAGTACCCACAGGAGGCTATCATGTAAAATCTCCACAATGGCATTACTTTCCGTCTATCTCAATTCCTAGTGCTCAATATGTGTCTGTAAGAAGAACAAGCAAAAAGTTCCATTATTGGGTCATTTCCTTAAAGAAGCATATCCTATGGAAGTACCAAATGGATTTCTCTGGAAATTTAAGAATCATTTGGTTGAAGGTGCATGAAAAAACTGACACAGGTAAGAACAAAAATATTTATAGTAAACCGTAGAGATAACGAATTCCAAATACTAAGAAATACTCTGTTCCAACTTCTGACATATAACAGTAGCTTATATCAATTAAAAGGAACAAATGGTAAAAACTTCTCTATATTTAAGAGGAGAGGAGGGGTACCTGAAATATGTTTCTTTCCATAGCTGGAATGCAGTGAAAATCAGAGGTCAACAGCTGGCCCCTCCAGCGAATAGCAGCAGTAGAGGGATTAGACGACGATGCTGCAAGGTCAACTTCTCAAGAGTTGCCTTCTAGGGTAACATACCAAAATCGCCTTAACTTATTGTGCATTCAACTTCTAAGAAACAGTCAGTCATATTTGACAGATTCTTACCAACTTCAGTTGCCATTTTCAGAACAAAGATATGAATGACAAAACAAATAATAGCATAAAAAGTGAACATTGCACCATTAGAAAGCAAGACGATCAAGAGTTGTCAATGTCTATGTAGAGCAATTAGAAAGACAAACTATATTAAACAAGACAACCTAGAAAAAGCTAAATTTATTCAGCAGGAATACGCTCTCTTCACTCATGTCTAATATTTGCTAATAAAAACATTGGGGTTTTGGCAATTCACTTTTTTAAAAAAAGGTTTTATTTAGAAATGTTCATGCAACAAAAGATTTTATTAAGAAAGTCACCCAAGTGGGGTTTTGGCTACACATTTTATTTTTTTTTAAAAAAGTGTCTTTCTTCATGTAATTTTCTTATAACACTGAATTTTAATTTTGTTTAGAATTCAAAATGCTAAAGTTATATCACCTATCTAGCTCTTAAATATCACCTATTTTCACCTTGATTCATTGTTATGAAGAGACCGTTAACTTCAAAATTTATTAGAATCATATCTCCCCCCTGTAAATAGTGATGTTATGCAACATAATATGCAAAACAATAATAAAAAATTATTTGTTATATATTGCAACCTGAAAACGAGTAACTGAAGACAACAATAATGAACTGTCAAGTTACACTACAAACGGTAAACGACAGAGCATTGAACATGACAAAATATATCTTTTCCAACTAACATGACAAATATAGGAACTTAAATATCTATTAATAATAATTCCATCGAATACCATTACAATTGTCCTCGACAAATTCTCATATTTCTAAGCGTTGCATGATAACCTCATTAGATATGTCCCGAAATATGTCTTTTTCTATATCTACAACCAAGTTATCATTCTTCCATTGATCTCCCAACCGATTGGGCAATTGAATCTTTACAAAATTCATAGTAGAAAATGCCCTATCCACAGTGGCAGATGCCACTGGTAAGATCAACGCCAACGTAAGAAGCAAATACACCTTTGTATATACCTTGTCGAGTCTTGTCTCAACCATTCTTTTTGCAAGAGCAGCAATCCCTTCCAATCCTTCAAAGCTACTACTAGAGCGCACATAAAGAATATAATTCTTAAGTTGAGCATCAAGTTTCATGAGCCTCCTTGCAGAAAATTCTTTTGGATAAAATTGAGCAAGGCGAATTAATTTTTTCTTGTCAAAAGCAATGAAGGCATCATCTGGACATAGGCATGCTACACAGAGAAGTAACTCAATATTTGAGTCAATGAAACGACTATTTAACTCTTGAAGTTGCATATCTATGACCTTATAGAACAACTCATCACGATAATGATGCAAGTTTGTCTCTTCTGGAGCTTTACGATGCAGTCGTCCTCGAGTTTTGAACATATCATCCATGTTTGGAACATCAATTTCATGTGTCTCACAAAAGGAAGAAACTTGATCAAGTAAAAGAATCCCATCCGTCCTCCCTCATCATTTGCAATCGTTGCTTGCTTACTTTGACCAAGGACATGGAGTTTACAATATCTTGATCTCTCCTTTGTAATGCCTTTGATAATTCATTTGTAATCCCTAACACAATTCTCATCAAATGTAAATTAAGTACAAAACTAAAAGTTTGCATTGATTCCAGCAAATTATTTGCTTCATATTTCCCACTAGAATATGATCCATCCTCTTCAATAATAGCAAGAGCACCAATTACAGATGAGAACATCACAATCAATCTAATTAAAGTGCCATAGTTTGAGCCCCAACATGAAATTTCACATTCGTCAAGTGTTTCAATAACTTCAGCAACTTGTTTCTCTCGAAGGATATCATGATGTTTACATGGGGTTTCAAGTACTTTCATCACGTTACCAACCAATGTGATAAAAGAGGAGCCGATTTGATTTTTTGCCATAGCCACAAGAGCTAATTGAAGCTCGTAGTCAAAACAATGAACAAAAAAGGCAAATTCATTCTCCTTTAAAATAAGTATTTTGAGACTGTTGAACTCGCATTGCATATTAGTAACCCCATCATAACCTTGCCCACGCAGTCTAGAAATGCTCAATCCATGTCTAGAAAATAACTCATCTATCAATGTCTTAAGTGAAAGAGCAGTTATATCTCTAACATGTAGAATGCCAATAAAACGCTCAATGATATTCCCATCCTTGTTCACGTAACGTAGCACAACAGCAATATGCTCCTCCATCGATATATCATAAGAATCACCAATTAATATTGAAAAAAATGCATCTCCAATATCTTTGATGATAAGATTAACCGTCTCCGTTGCAGTGACATTAGTAATGTCTTTTTGAAGCTCAAGTAGATTTTCTGGGGCATTATTTAATACAACGGATTTAACATTCTCGTTGTAATCAGCAAGACATCGCAAAAACGGAAGAAAGTCCTTTTGAATGCTCGAATCCTCGAATTCACTAATGACACGAAATGCAAGTCCTTGCTTTACAACAAACCGGACACTATCAATTGATGCATTCAAAATAGTTAGATATTCACATCGATCTTGGCCTGACTGCTTGGAAATAATTGATTGATTGTGTCGAGTTCGCTTTGAACTACCATCATTTCTCTCTGCAGGGGGTGTCAACTCCAATTTCCTTTTCTCCATACTGTTTCAAATTTGGTTGTAAAATCAAATTAACTTAAAAACTCAAATAAAGAACTTATTAACATGCTATAGCTCAAATTCAAAATAACATCTAAGATGACCTATTTCATTCCAGAACATAGATTAAACCGTATTTAATAAAATTGACAGCATGTACTTAGCCAAACAAAACAAACAAAAATAGGAGTGTAGTAATCAAATAGCATGTTGCAATTTCAAAATTGCAGTAAAGAAAAATTCACAAACATAAAATGTAAACATTTAGCTGATGAATTTGCAGTAACAATTTCAAGAAGAAAAAAATAATAATAAGAAAAGAGAAAAAAGAGGTACTTTCAAGGGAATCAAAGAAATTTGGAGTAGAAGAAGAGTAAAAAAGGAAAAGAAGAAAGAAATAGAGGGGTTTTAGAATGGTGGAATTCTAGGGTTTTCATTTTGAAAAAGATGAGAAGAAGAAAGAGAAATAGGAGGTAGAGAAAATGTACCTATGTAGTCGCCGGTGGTCGACGAGGAGTCCTCCGAAGTAGTCGCCGGTCGTCGAGCACTAGATCAGCTGGTTCGTGACTTTCGTCGTTGAAGGCACACACTACACGCACTGACGAAGAGAGAGAAATGAGAAAACACTGATGTTTGTTATTCTCGTGAATTTACACATTAGTGGGCCTCATAGCCCAAATATTACAAAAGTATATGTCCGTTGTACTAAGACTGACCCAGTACTTGTGCCCAATGGCCCCAATTGGCTACAGTCCACTGGGCCATATCATTGGTCTTACACTTTTCAAACCCTAGTCGTGTGAAAGGTTGGTCAAATTTACATGGTCTAGTGGGCCCTCATATTACAAAGACATGTTCATTGCTGTACATCAGCCTTCAGGCCACTAGGCCATGTCATTGGTCTCACACATTTTAAGCCCAAAAAGTGAAAGATTGGTCAAATTCACATGGCCTAGGGGCCTCATGTTACAAAAGATCTGTCCATTGTACTGAAAACAACCATTCTTGCTCCCAATGGTTTGCAGGCCACCGGGTTACAAGAGTACTTGACACAATAAATTCATATGAAAAATAAAAGAGGTATAAATGAAAGTTAGAGTTAATATCAAAATGAAATTCAATTATTAATATAGTGTCATACAAAGCGCGACACTTTCGAATGAGTCTCGGATTAGGGTAGGTAGACGATTTCATTGGTCTTTACACCTTTCAAACCAAAAAAGTGAAACGTTGTTTGAGAACGGCTGAGAGAGAGCCACGTACTTATCATTGATGGCCTTTACTTTGTATTTACACAACAAGCCCTTCTACTTTCACAATTTACTTGTTACCTAGGCCTTAAACAGATTCGGACCGGCTTGATATATTTACACAACGAACCGGTTCTACTTTCACAATTACCTGTGATTATATTTATGTCCAGTCTTAAAACGATGTAATTTTTTGTTATCATGTTGAAATACACACACATATATATAAATATTTATTAGCACAAAAGGATTAAGCAAAAAAATGGACAAGCTGAAGAAGAAAAATAAAATATATAAAAAAAAAAAGTAAAAAAATGACGAATTTGACTTTTTATAAAAGATATTCCTACATAGGTCTCTATGGGGAAGAAAAATAAAGGAATAATGATAAAAAAAATATTTTAATAATATATAATTAAATATAGGGTAAAGTGCAAAAAAAAATTCCCTGAACTATTGAGGAACATGCAAACAACCCCTGTACTACAAAAAATGCCAAAAACCCCTTGAACTAGTCACATTTGTTGCAGATTGCTCCCTCCGGCAATAATCTGGCCAAAAAATGTCTCTAATTTGAGCGCGTGTGTGACACTTGATATAGGAATTAATTTTGATGGACAATAATGCCCTTACAAAGCTGAAAGGACCAATTCGCCCCTGTTATGACCGTTGCAGCCAAACGCACCTTAAGTCTCAATCCTTATATATATACACACACCCGTATATACACCCAACTATTGGAACCCTAAAATAATTTCAAAAAACCCCTAAATTGATTCGTCATACCTTTCAATCCTCTCAATCCATATGATTATCTGTTCGTTGTGAATCCTCTATCTCTCGTGCCATCAGTTTGTCGTCCATTAATCACACTCTCTTTGTATTTGTTGAGTTCTACTCTTCTCTGTGAATCTCAGATCTGTATCGACTATAAGGTAATCCTTTCTCTCTATTTGGCTCTCTATTGATGTCAGTTGATATATATATATATAAGGTAATCACCTTTCTGTATTTGGCTCTATATTGACAAGTTTAACTGTACAAATAGAGATCGTGTACATATATATAGTTCTCCTAATTTTTTGAAGGTCTTGATAATGGACAATGCTAGGCCTCGAATGATGAATAAGAGGTGTTGATGTGGCCAGAGAGCTTCTGTATTCATTTCTGAGTCCGCGAATAATCCTGGGAGGCCATATTATAAGTGCAGTAGAAGGGTTTGCAAGTTTTTTGAATGGGGGACTCCTCATTTGATACCAAACATCAATCGACATCCTCAAGCTGGTCCTCTTGTTCCTCCAGTAGCTCTCAATTCCATCACATTATTTGCAATGGCTATGTTTGTGGGAAGCATTATATTCTTTGGGTTCTCTATTTTAGTTTTATTTATTTCTGTTGCTCTTAAGTGAATGTAATGTAGGTTAAGACTGTTTTGGTTGTTATATGATGTTATATGGAGGTTTGGGTGTATGATGGCATGGAGGTTTGGGTGTATGATGGCATGGAGGTTTGGGTTATTGTATGATGGTTTAGGTTATATAATTGGATGTTATATAGGAAGATTGTGCCAAACTCTGTTTTGTAATAGTGTTGTTGACTAATGAAATGCCAATTTGCAAGAACCCTTGGTAGCTATTGTGTTTTTTAAGTGGTATTGTGTAATGTTAAGTGCCATGGTATTGTGCTTTTGACGTGATATTATGCACAGACACACTACACTGTAATAAAGTAAGCCTGCATTGACAACAAATGGAACACATTCAAAGTACACTATGCCTGTGAAAACCAAACTACACTGCAATACATGCCAATGACACATTCAAAGTGCAATTTAATGACCCGTTCAATGACAACTACAAATGGAACACATTGAAAGTGCAATTTAATAAGCTGTTAAATGACAGTATACATGTTCAATGACACTAGGCCTGTTCAACCAAACTACACTACAATTTTTTAAAGCATTCAAAGCACACTGCAAGCAAATAAATATACATTAAAACCAACTGATTGAGCACCATCAACCTTTAATTGTAGTGAAACAAATTTCTAGAAACAACCTGTTCAATGACAGTATATCTGTTCAATGACACTAAGCATGTTCAACCAAAGTACACTGCAATTACATAAGAACATTACCATTCTAAACATAAGTAACATCAGTACTACTTAATAACATACATATATGGAAATCGAACTAAAGCTCTCCTATCCCATTAGCATATACAGTAACCAAAAAGTCAGCATGAGCCATAGCAGCAACAAAACAACATCCAATAGCAACTTGGAGTGACAAAAACCACTGACAGCAAGAAGACCATAGACAAAAGGGGTCATCCACTAACAAAAAGCATCAACAAAAGCTGCAATTACTGGCCTTCTTCACTACCAACAGTCATACTCACTGTCCATCATGAACCTGTTAACAAACCAACCAATTTGTTATAACAAGTCATACCAACCAACATAAAGAGAACATAAGGGATTGTTTTCAGCATACCTAGAAGATGATGATGCCTGACTTTGTGAAAGTTGTGTAAAGGGTATGTTTAAAACCTAAAATGAGTGGTACAAGTTAGCTCAGTTAAGGTAGACATAACATGAAAATTATCATAAATATCATATTAAAAGTACCTCTTGGTTTGAAGGTACTGGAGGTGGAATTTCAATTCCTCTAGCTCTCCCTTTTCTTCCCATTCTTCCTCTTCCTCTACCTGTCATGCCTTCAGGTACTCTTGGTCTTCCCCTTCCAAGAATGGGTGGTCTACCTCCCCTTCTTGGAGGAGGTTTGTCAATCACCAATGGCTCAGGTGCTTTGCAGATCCTTATATTATGGCCATTCTCCTTACACCTTGAACATTTCAAATTTTCCTTAGACCTACTAAGTTTGGCTCCACCCTTGGGTTCATCATTCTTCTTATTCCTAGCCTTCTTTGGCCTACCAGTGGGCTTCCTATAGTGTGGTAGAAGCAGTGGTTGAATGGGGTCTATTTTCATCAACCTTCCCATTGGACTGGGTAGGATTAAACCAGCATAGGACTTGAGGTAGGTTTCTCTGTGATAGTATAGGTGAACATATACCTCAGGAGCTTCCCTCTTCATAAAGGTGCATGCTACAGCATGTCTATAGGGGATGCCAGTTAAATTCCACACCCTACAACTGTAAGATTTCTTCTCAATGTCAACTGCTTCACTTATTCCATAGCATTCAACCTCATACTTTTGATCACTAGCATAATGCACCTTACATATTCTAGCTTGGTGTTTCACTTTGTTGAGATTCTTTTGAATTTCTGGACATAACAAGCCTTGTTGTAATGACATCCATTCTCTCTTGCATTGAAACCTTAACATTAGATGCCTCCTAATCCATTCTAGCATGTATATTATTGGCTTATCTCTTGCATCAACAATAACTACATTCCAACTTTCACATATGTTGTTGATGACCATATCACATTTTGAAGTTTGGGTAAAGCCTGACATTGACCATAAAATAGCTGGTACCTTCCTCAACCACTCATAAGCTTCCACATTTAAGTCCCTTATTTTCCTCATATGTTGTTCAACGTTTGCTTCAGTATATGCCCTTGCTGCCTCCCATAACTCTATTTTTAGCTGCTGTCCTTTGAACCTAAGTTTGAAATTCTCATACAGATGCCTTACACAAAATCTATGGTCTGACCCTTCCATCATGTTCTCAAAGGTTTCTACTAAACCCTACACATGAGACAAATCAAACAGAAAATCAGTGTTAAAAAAAGTAGAATAAAACAGACCACAAAATTAAATTAAAATAGAATCTAAACATAAATAGAAGTAAATTAAATAGAAAGTGTACCTTTTGTCTATCTGATATAAAAGTTATATCTTGGTAAGGTCCTATAGCATCCATCAATTCTCCCATAAACCATTCCCAAGAATCTCTTATCTCAGACTCCACTACTGCAATTGCCACTGGAAACATCTGTCCATTTCCATCATTGGCCACTGCACTCAAAAAGTGGCCACCATATGGTCCCTTTAGGAAGCAACCATCCACACTAATAAGAGGCCTACAACCTTCTTTAAAACCAGTTTTCATTGCATCATAACAGATAAATACTCTCATAAACCTTCTCTCATTCTTAACACCAGTGGGCTCAGTTTGCAATTTAACAATACTGCCAGGGTTACTTCTCAAGATTAAACTGCAGTAATCTCTCATTTTTTCATATTGCTCTTCTTCATTTCCTTCAATCATCTCTAATGCTTTCCTCTTAGCCCTATACACTTTGTGTTTGGACACATCAATGTCCAAATCAGAAGCAGTAGTGCTTTTAAGTGTACTTAAATGCATCTTTGGGTTCAATCTTAGTTGTTCTAAGTATTTGTTTGCAATAAAGGATGATGAGGCTTGTGCATTGCTATGAAACCAAAGATAGTTTTGCATGATCTTGCACATATGTCTTAACCATCAAACAATCACCACCTTCTGTTTTACTTGCATATATTCTCCAACCACATTCAACCTTACATACTGCACTTACCTTATCTTCATCATTCTTTGTGAACTTTATATCAAACTTACCCCTCAATGCTGTGTCTCTAAGGGCCAACCTAAAATCTTCAGCAGAGCCAAATTTCATACCTATTTCTAGTTCATTTTCTCCTAAATCCCTTGAAGGAATGTATTCTTGGTACATAGATTCAGTATCAAGAACTTCATCATCAGATCCATTCAAGCTTATCAACTCATCATTAGGGCCATATGGGCTTGACACATGAGCAATGGGGTCTGATTCATCCCACCCTACACCCCAACCCACATCATCACCTAAGATATCTTCATTTGGTGCTTCATTCAACAAGATAGGTGCAACAATGTACAACTTAATTTTGTTGATTTCCCTATAGGCTTTATGGTCATAAAACATTCTAAATACATCTAAATTACATTTGCCTTCATTAAAATTTTGCCATTGATAAGGTACTTTGTAGAACACTTCACTGACCTCCCCATATCCCAACTGAGTTGCCATCCCTTGAATCTGAATAAAGGACATCTTATCTGGGTCTACATTATCAAAATTTGATATTTTTCCTCTCATGTATGTCATAGGATGTGATTTCTCAAAAATACCCACATGATGCACTTCAATGGTGTACTTACCATCCATCTACAATAACATAATTAAATAAACAAGTGGGCTCAGTAAATAAGTGTACAGGCCATCGATTCAATCATTAAGTGTACAGACAAATTATTGTCAGCAACTGTGCACCTACACTGAACAGGTGTAAAAAAAATTCATATAATAAAGACAATTCAATGAATGACAACCAACAAAATTTTATACACAATGACTACCTAACCACTACAAAGCATAAAAAAAACACATATTCAATAGAGGGACCACCAATGACATGAACAATTTTATACAGTTTCATGAAGACAAAGTTCACTGATTGAGACAACATTTGAACAAAAAACAAATATTGCAGAAAAAAGGCTTGAAAGCAACTACATCAACAGAATAAGGCTTAAAAAGCTAAAAATTATGCAACATAAAGGCAGACAACATTTGACAAAAAATAATGGCACAAATAAGACTTGAAAACAAGTAAATCAACAAAAAAAGACACAAAAAACCTACAAATTAAGCAACACAAAGGCAGACAACATTTGACAACAAAAAGGTAGAAAAAGGCGAAACCAAGTCATGAACAGAAAAAGGCAAAAAAAAAAAACTAAAAATTAAGTGACATAAAGGCATCGAAAAATTACTTGAAAACAACAACATCAACATCATGTGTAGACCTCGAATCCTTTCAAAATGAAAATATGCTTTATACATACCAAAAAAAAAACGACAATGGTTATAAAACTAGTAAAAAAATTATCTACAAACTCAACTTAGAAATGGTTTCAATCAATTATTTAGGGTAAGAGAGTTACTAATTTGGCTTCAACACTTGTAGCAAGAGAGATGTTAAGATTTTAGTTACGTTTTAACAACAGATCGGAGAACTTGCAAAGCTCTGCAACTGCTAGTTGATAAAGACAGAAAATGGCGCCATTGGGGTTGTGTGGTTGAGGGAATATATCTGTAGCCTTATCACAATTGCCTTGTTGTCGCATTTTCATTGGTTCTTTAGATTTCACTTTCCAAATCAGCAATTGTAGATTTCCATAGCCTTAAACTATGTCGTTTTATTTAAGGTACAATGGTCTTTTCGAATTTCCGGTACTGGAATGTTGACCCAGGAAGTAAATTGCAACAAATGCATAGTTTGGGGGTTTTTTTTGTACTTCAGGGGGTTAGTTGCAATACCCCAATAGTTCAGGGGGATTTTTTGCATTTTACCCTTAAATATATTATAACAATAGATAATATATTTATAACATATTATACATTACTCCCTCTATTTCAAAATAAATATTTCTTTTTAAAAATCTAACTTTTAAGAAAATTAGTGTTATTATGTTTGTTATTATATTAGTAGTTAATGAATTATCGAATTTATCTATAGTATGTCTACACGATGTGATGGTTTTCTTTTTAAAGATTAGATTTGTAATGTTATAAAAAATAAAAAATAATACTTTGACTTTTTAATTGTGACATTTATATTTGAAATGGAAGGGTGGATATTTATTTTTCAAAAAAAAAAAAAGAGTATATTAGATCGAATCGTGACGATGGATTAGGGTAATTAGGGTAATGAATTGAAAGTTTCAATCTATATTGAAATTATCAGATTCAATTCTTGGCATGTCTGCTTATACCCCTCTTATATCAACCACCCTAGTTCTATTTTCGTAGTTTTTTAAAAAGAGCAACAACTCAAATTTAGTAGCTCAAATTACAACCTTATTTTCTCGTTCAGAATTCAAAATTAAACAGAAGTAGTCTTTTACCATTTCGATTTCATACAAGGTTCAACGTGGAATAAATCAAGAATTATATTCTTCCATAACAAAAGTCACGTTTAAGTCAGGTCGATCTTCTGCTGCTGCTAGTACCACCATCTTCTGTGTGTAAGCTATATCTGGTTTTGGTGCTGGTGCTTGCACCATCCACCTCTACCGAAGGAGAAGGAGGAAGAGAAGGATCGACCACTTTAACGACAGCGAAGCAAAGATCAAAACTAACTCGGAATGACTAAACTTGGAAAACCACATCTTCACAAAACTTGTTGTTATCAACAATTTGTTTCCAATGGGTTGCCAATATATACATTGAGCTACCTTTCATAAATTCCTCAAGTTCTGGATCAATCAACAAACACTGTATTACGGTATACTTGGCATCTTTGTCTCGCGTCTTCAAGAAGGTGAAGACACCATAATTGGCATAGGTCGGACACAGTCCAGATTGTCATAAAGGGGTTGGAAGCGGATTGAACAAATGGAGTTGGGCCGAACGAAGTTTTCATCACCAACCCCAATTACAGGGTGAAAGCAATTGTGAGGCCCAACTTAATAACGAAAATAATTAGACCCATAGCAAAGGGAAACCCAATTGTAAAGTCCAGTATGAGGGGTAAATTAGGAAGCTATTAGAACGCCTGTAACGTTCTATAAATAGAGAGATAATAGAAAGGAAAAAGGGAAAGTTCTAGAAGTGTAAAGATACTCTGCCAAAATAGAGAGAGAAAGTATTCTTGCATCTTCAATTGGCGCCGTCTGTGGGAAACGATGAAGATTGAGTCGATCAAAATTGATTCAATCCAGACTAGTTCGTGAAGAAAAAACTTGATCTCTGAAAGTTGAATCCAAATTAGTGTGATCGGCGTTTAACTTGTAGAGTCTCGATTCTAGTTGGTGGCAAGAGATTCGCGTTGGATCTACACAGTTGTTTACTGAAGCTAGAACTGACGAATTCACAGCAGGAGAAATTCATATCCGGCCAAAGGAGATCAGAATTCAGCTGGTTCGACTCTAGATCGAGTACGATCATATTAGCGTAGCTCAGATCTAATCCGCAACTTGCAGTTATTGACTTTGCTCCGATAAAAAATGATGATATGAGGAGAAAGCTCAAATTCGATGGAGAATGACCAACAGTCGAAGCTTGATGAACTGATGAGCACAATCGAGGTCCTGAGAAGAGAGAATGCAGAATTGCGAGCTGGAATGGAGCGTCGAAAAGCTCCGGTCATTTCACGGCCACCTCTAGCAGGGGAGAAAGTTTTGCAGTCCAATGTCGTTCATCAAAATGATCAAGAAGGAGACAATCACATGGATCTTTGTCGTGAGGAGATCTTGCTAGGTGATTTACCGCTAAATGTTTATCAAATGGAAGATTGAGAGGGATCTATCCATTTGGATCCGCATCGCGAGCGAATTATGCGAGAAGAATCCGCAGCGTTTGATCCAAATCAAGGAAGATCGAAGCATGAAGAAGCCATGGAGTTTGGTCATCATAGAGCTATATCACCGTGGCAGAGGGAGCTCACCGAGGAAAGATCGTTTGATCCACCCTACCGACCTTCAATGGCTACATATGATTACAGGAGTTCAGAGAGGAGATCTGAAGATCAGAAGATTCCCTCACGATTTTCTAGGGAAAATGAAGCCTTCTATTCTTCAGCACGAATGGTTGCCTCTCCATTCACTGACGAGATCTTGAACACTCCGAATCAGAGGAAATTTTCCATGCCGATGTTCATTCTGTTTGATGGAACGACTGATCCGATCAATCACATTTACCACATTCAGCTTAAAATGGCTCTAAACACGGAAAATGATCCTTTGATGTGCAAGTGCTTCCCTACAAGTTTGGCAGGGCCTGCGCTCAATTGGTTCAAGAATTTGGCTCAAGGCTCAATCGCTAGCTTCCAAGCTAGTATTATAGGAATAAGAGCCCAGCCAAAGATGTTTCAAGCCTCTTTATAATGAAACAGCATGAAGATGAGAAGCTCCAAGTTTTCCTCACCAGGTTCAACCTTGTTAAGAGCATGGTAATGGAGTGTCATTCGTCCACAACGGTTCAAGCAATCAAGCTGGCCATGAACCGAGGGACACCGTTTCACATAAGCCTGGTGATGAATACGCTAAAGACCATGGATGAACTGAACGAAAGAGCAAACGGATTCGTACACTTGGAAGAAGATGAGGCAGCTAATGCACGAAAGACATCGATTATATCAACAAAGGAGAAATTAAAGGCCAAGATCGGGTAGAAGCAAGCTCCGACGCAACGTCAAACTTCCTGGAAGACAGAAAAGAGGCCGAGGGAAGAATAATTGGTCACACCACTAAAAGTTACCTTGGCTAGGTTATTCCAAGAAAACAAAGATAAGTTTCGCTCTCTCTTACCAATTAAACAACCTCTCGAACAGAGGGATCAGTCC